GGTATTATCACATTTCATTTAAAAACTAGCATTCAGTGAGTTCCTCACAATACACAAAGTCTGAGAAAAAAGGAAAAAAAAAAAACCTCCAATTTTCCCAAAGCCCATGCTAACTTCTTAACCCATCACCTTTTCCTCTGTTACAGAGAAGACACAGTCCTTCTTTACATCAACATCACTTTCTCTTACTGGAGCTAAAAAGAGTAAAATCTACCTCAATTACCTTCTTAATTGCGATCTAAAATTCTGAGGTATAAAGAGGTTAGTCGTAAGAAAAAAAAAAACACAACTTTTTCTTCAAAACAGAAAATATATAAAATCCTCCTGTTTGTTTCTCATTTAACATGCATACTATTTTAGGATTCCACTCTAAGATTCTTCATTGTTCTCATAGAACAGAACAGCGCTATCACAGAGTAGGACTCAACTGTCACAGCAGGCACTTATAATTTAAATTCCTATATAAATATGCACACAAAAATCCAGATTTCACTGTTGAGAGCTGAGTACCTTAACAGTGTAACTGCTCACTGTAGTTAGAAAAAATAAATACATATCTTTACATTGTTATGTCAAAACTGTGAGATCTAAGAAGGGGTTTGACAAAGGCAAAAAACGCTGAGGAATTATAGCTCAAATCTGACTTGAAACCTGAAACTAATATGATTTGCTATGAGTAAGAGGTTCTTTCTTTCAGTGCTGTGCAAAGATGGAAGAATATAACAACTCTAGAAATATAGTGACCCAATCTACAAAATATTATGGGTTGTAGAATGACCTCATAAAAATAGATTTTTATTGTGTTATTTCAATGATGCAAGGTTATAAGTTATTGATTCTTACAAGATATAATCAATTAACACTTTTCTGCTGTTTATCTCACGAACCAGAAGAATTTTGTGTTTACTTTGGTACAAACTATTTATTGAACGTTTATTCTGTTTTCACTATGTCAATTTGTCGTTACACGATGATTTAGAGAGGTTAAGATTTCAGAATTTGGCTGAGTAGCAAAACTATGAAAATACAATGATCATAAATAATTTTATCAAACTTTCCATTCCATTATGTCCTTCTCCTACAGTTTATATTTTCCAATATGTGGTTGAATTTCCCCTAAGACAAATGGTACAATTTCACTGAGGAAAATAGCAAAATGGACATCAGAGTCTGTGTCATAATAAAATCATTTTGTACTAATAAAATTTTTCCATTTAAAAAAGACATATTTTAGGAATGGTTTAACCAACCATATTTTTTCCTAGCAGTCAATAACTTCAATGCAGCTAAACACTACTTTAAATTAATCTATTGTTGATTCATTGATGATAAATTAGTTTGGTAGAAAATATACATCTATGAAAAATACTGCATTTAATTGCTTAATTGGTTTTTGTTTTATGTCATCCAAGCATTAAAGACAATGTTATTATAACATGATACAAGTTCTATTAGGAGAGATAAGAACTACAATTCTATTTAACTACAGTCCAGTTCTCTCAGGCACTTACTGGTTGGGAAAAGTGCAACATCCTCTCTTGAAATTCAAGTACTTCTTTTTTTTTTTTTTTTTTGGCCAAACTGTTTCTTTATGATACAACCACTTTTCTGGTTCCAGTTAAAAAGTAAAATAAAAAATGGCAATAGCATCATCAATGGGGAAAAATATTAAGCCCTTTTCAAAAAATTAATCAGGTGCAGATATTGAACTGTACTTTTTCATCCTTTGTCTCACTTTTCAAATGATAATTTCTTCCACAGTCACCATTAAATCTTGATCTATTCCAGCTCTCTGTATGGGTCATTGATTCTAGATGTACCATGGTTATTTTTAAATGTTTCCCTTTCGTAGAGAAAAAGAGGGCTGTCTAGAGCCAGATGGGTAACTTCACACTTCATTTATCAAACCAAATGCATTAGACTCCACCCTCTCTTTCCCACTATTGCTGTTAAATTTCCATATAATTTGGTAGCAATTTTCATTATCATACAGTGACCCTAAAAAGTCTATACAGGTTTGCATGGTTAGTCCAAAATTCACAGCTGTTCCCTTCACCGTCTATTTGCTACAGTAGAATCCAAGGTTTCCCCTCACTTTATAAGGTGAACAGTGACCTTCTATAAGGAGAGGTCAAGAAGGGGTCAGTTCAAAGGGCTAGAGAAGCTCTTTAACAGCTATAACAACCTGTCCATCAGGCACTATCACGTAGTATAAACAAATCTGGGGCTTTAGAAACTCTGGACCGTTTCTGTTAACACTCAGAAGACATTCACTGAGTCCTACCTGAAGTATTTGGGATCGCTACCACTCAGAGAACAACTTGAATCCCTAAAAGACCAGTTCAGATAGTTGAGATACTGACATCTTTGCCTCAAAAGTATATGAAATGCTGAGCTGCAACACTAAGCACACTGCCATGAGTTTTGGACTGTGGAGCTGAAAAAAAATCTCAAGGAGTCATTTCAGTTCATTAACATGCAGAAACACTGGTACAACTTTAAGCACATAACACAAGGGCATGCTTTAACCATGTAGATACATATCAGAACAGTACATATGCCTTTCTCTGAGGAAGGCTAAATTTCTAAAAGTTCAATCAGTTTGTATTACCAGTTCTCAGCGTGTCATTTCAGGTGTTAATGACACAAATAAAGCACCAGAAAGAACAGAATGACTACAAAACTCTACAAAGACCAAATACACAGTAAAGTTTTCTTCCAGTTGCCCTCCCTTCATTGACCTAAATTTCTTGAAGTTGTACTGCTCATAATCTGCTCTCTAATGCACAATGTAAGGTAATTAGAGTCATCTGTATTTAACTTCCACAGGAAAAAAATTCTATTATCTAATCTAGCTGATCCCCTGATAGCCTGTTGAAAGTAAAATACTGTAACCTATTGCCTGCCCTTTGACAAGTGCTAATTATTTCCTGTCCAAGCACATTTTTCTCATGTAATTCCAAAGTACACAATAGACTGATCTCTAAAACATGAGCAGCCCTGCTTGTACCACGGCGGACGTTTTATAACTTTCACCACCGTGTGCTCGATGGCTACCACAGCCAGTGTTTCATTCCAGACATGGAGCAGGAGCTTTGATGAAGTAAAGTGAGGTGTATGGTAACAGCCTGTTTATGCAGCTCATATGGATGAGACTCTCAGATAGGTCACTGGAATGGGAAACATCAAATAGAAAGAAAAAGGATTATGGATATTTAATACTCAAAGGACACTTTCTTTCAGAACTTTCAAGGCACAATGCTCTTGAAATTTTCTTTCAGGTGTTTAGTTTTAAGAAGGCCTGCACTTCATCTGCTTGTGCCTCTCCCCACCCCCCAAAATTGTAGTGCTGCTCTGTCAGGGACGAGGTTACAGCTCCAACTGCAGCCCTGGCTCCAGCCTTGGAGCACTCCGAGCAGCCAGCAGAGGCCAGAAACACAGAAACCCACCTGATCTTTAAATTACCCCCAATTGCTATTATTTGTGATGACTTCATGTATTAGGGAATTATTGTTAAACTAAAGGAACACTAAACTGATATTTGACTCACTAGAAGCTTTCCCCTCTGGTTCACAACAAAGATGCACAGAATGTCCCAGAAAAGCCTTGAGTGATTTCCCCTGTCTCCAATGTGGCCAAAATGTTTGCATTATTTAGCAAGCACAGTGATGGAAGGCAAACTCCATCCCCCCCCCCCCCCCCAAAAAGAAACCTCAAACAACTAAAAACCTCCTTAAATTCCTCAAAAAAAAGGATAAAACCCACATGATAATATGGACAATATTTTACTCGGAGTTCTTAACTGAGTAATACACAAATAAATATTCCATACTCATAAGAACACAAACTTATAAAATGCAGCCTCTAATTTGCAAAATGATTACGTGTTATATGCTTATATTTTATCTAAAGCTTCTAAAATATTTCAAGTCCACTCACTGTAACTGTCTGGAACAGCAAAGACACTCAAGTGTCAGATCCAAAATCTACAGATTGCTTTTAAAAAGTTATCCCAGTTTTCAAGAACTACAACAAACCACAGAAGAGTTCCCTTAAATGGAATATTTAGTGCAGGTAAAAAATAATGCCAATTAAGGGTTAAATCTCATTTTAAAAAAATCTCATTTACAAATTCTGCATTAAAAATTACTTTTTAGTAAAAACTGTATTTAATTTTAAATAAGAACACCTGGTTTAAAAGAAAAGCTGTATATTTGGTAGAAAAGTTTCATAGACTGATAGATACTTAATGTAAATCATGAACAAGAAAATAGTAAGATTATGAAATGAGTATAAATCTAAAGCTTTTAGAAATAAATGTGGAAAAGGGTGACATCAACTCATTTAACAGCTAAAGAGAAAGACATAAGGTGGCATATGGTGGAAATTCTGCTTCTATTCACCTGTTTCTGAGCAAACCAAAAGTATGGTGTAGCTGTAGCTTCTGAAATGCATTCAGGCTACATTCCAGTAACAAACCTTTCCAAACAGAAACACAAACGTCTTTTTAAAATTGTTGACCTGATCTATTACCATGGCAATGAGTTCTATTAAGACCTACATATAATAAACCAGTCATAATATGAACTCCAGCAATACATACACTTATGCCAATCTCACCCAACAGAACCCAGTTAACACCAGTTGGATCCCACGGGAAAATGGCAGGATCACAAAGAAAGCAGCCAACCAGTGTGTCCATTTAGCATAGCATGCCAGCAAAGAGCATTGCTCATATTGTCAGCAATATATGGAAAACCTCAGGGCACTTGAGGTGGCACCAATCCTCAAATATATATATATATGTTGCCTCAAGCTATTATCAATAGCCTCCATTATGTGAGCACAGTAAGGGAGCAGTCTACCCCACAAAGTAACTCTGAAATCAGAAGCAGAGACACTGACTATTCCATTCAAGGAATTACTATTTGAACAATGAAAATTTTGAAATTTTTTTGAAAATGTCAGTTTGCAAGGGGATTTATAGGAGTGTTTCCCACCTTACTGTCCATTCTTTACGCAGCCTTTGTCGCTCCTTAAGGACTAGCAGGAAGCAGTTGATGGTTTCATTCCTTTGTTCCTCAATCTGTTGTTCTTTTCTAACTTCGGAGAGGACCAGACTTGTCTTAAAGAGAGGAAACACATAAAAATTATAATCTAGAAATAGGAAACAATGTGTAAAATTAATAAAAAGCCCATAAGCAAATAAGGACAGTAAATCAATAGCTTTTTTTATTACAGTTCCACTGCTGACAAATCAATACAGTAAATGATGGTTAGAAATGGCCACCATATATTTGGTATTTAATCAATATACATGGCATATAAGGTAAACCTTAAAATCTCATTGCCTTAAGTATCACGACAAGACATTGTGCATACTAGGCATCATTTTCTTGAGGCGTAGTTCCTTTCTTTTCTAAATATTATCTGGTATCAAATAATATTAGAAGAATTTTCTTCAATGCATTTGTTGGGAGATTTCACTCTCCCCATTTGCTCTTTGGTAAAGCTAATGAAAACACCTGTTTTTACTGTATCTTCTGAAAGGAATTTCTGATGATGTCCCCATGTTCTCTTTATCATTAAATATTTCAGTTAAACAAGTAGAAAAATATTTTCACGCATAGAATAAATTAAAACCTGCTAAAAATATACATATCTATAAATGCAATTTATTTAAGTCATCTGCACAGTATGATGACACACAGTCTCTGCAGACTGAAAGTTACTGGCCTTCCCAAATGTTGTGTTGACAATTAACATTGGTGTAACAGAAATGCAGATCTTCCTATCATCCTTCATCCAGCCAGCAAGCTAACTCTAAATCCATCACTCCATCTTTGCCTTCACTAACTCACCTACCACTTCCTTCCCTTCTTTCCCCTACACTTCCCAATCCCTGCCAACTTGGGAAGGACATGGCACGTGTTGATGCTTATACTACTGACCAGCCAGATGTCCACCAGTGCACATGTGCTGACTTGATGTGCAGCAGAGTCACCACGGCAGAGTCAATGCAACAGTCTCTTCCTCCAGGGAAGATATTGTCTTTTTCACCTTAACCAGCCACTGATATACACTTAACTGTTTTTGCTATTCTAACCTTCATTTACTTTGATATGTTTGCAGAACATGTATCTAAATGCTTTTGGGAAGGATGACAGAATAGACAGAATGCTTGCACAAACCTATTTTTTCCACAGTAAAGGAGGCAAAAAAAAAAAAGTTTCTAACCTGAAGAGCTGCATATGTGACTTTGAAAACACAACTCAAACATAACTAAGAGCTGCAATTCCTATTCCCAGCATAATCTCTCTTATAGGAACAATGTGACAAAAACACATGGCATATTGCCTCCTCCTCAAAATCACATACACGTTACATTCTGCCCTACCAAACTAAAATTCCTCTGGGGATTCTGTGAGAGAAATGATTGTTATCATCTTTAGTTTGTGAAAACAGGAAGATCTACCCTGGGTCTGAAAGGGTTTTTTTTTCCACGAGAAACAATAACATGCAGATTACACACTTCTTAAGCTACATAAAGTAGCAGTAGCATTACTACCACCTTGGTCATTCCATAAGACAAGCATGACAGGGTTCACAGAGACAGAAAATAATTTTATTGTACCAATGTCTGATGACAAAGAGCAAAAAGCATCTTTCTCCCCACCTCCCAGTTCTATCAGTTGGTCTACCAAAAGGCATTAGCCCATCATATGGGACTTACACATCAAAAAGAACATTTTCTTGTAAAAACTCAAAATGTTCAAAACTCTGTCTATACAGATCACATTCTTGACCTTGGTTTGACATTACAAAGCAAACAAAAAGCCAGAGAGCATTTTCAGATAAGGATTCCCTGACATGGGTTTCCCTTGCACTGACCTACAACATCTTTTCCACAAGCTCTAATATCCGCCAACTTCAACAATCCTGACCTTACAGCCTCACTTCCAGCAGCTGCACAGTTTAAAGCAGGATTTGATAGAGGACTTCAGCATGTGAAAACACACATGAGATGTACATTCTTTAATGAGTGTAAATTAACACTCCTTGTCATTCACAATAAATATATCTACTTAGGCTTTAACTTTTATATTTATCATGTACAAGTCTTGACACAGCACTACAGCTACAGTTTCTCTCTGTTATAGGATGACCAAACCACAGCCATACAGCTAGACCACAGCCCACCAAACTTCCCTTTCGGAATCCTTGGATGGCCACATTAATCACAACAGGACAGGGAAACCCACTGGTGACAGTGACGTGCCTACTTCTCTCCGAGACTGCAGTAAAGTCCCAAGTTTAAAGATGCTCTGCCTCCCAAAGCTGAAAGAATAGTTATTTGCAGGCAACAAACATCAAAATCCCCAACATAAGTGATTCACAAAGTGCAGAGCATGGAGAACTGATAGTTCCTAAAGAATTTTTAGTTAAAATCTAACAAAGAGAGGATGTTATTAGATTGTTATCAGTCAGGGATGGGTGATCACTTCTCCAAGTAGTCACAATCCCATAATGCTATTGCATGAATTCTGTGGAGCTGGTCAAATTGTAAATTTGGTTCCGAGTTCCATTACCTGAAGTCCCCTCCATCTACAGGAACATCGTAACTCTGCAAACTGAACTTAATTTTTACCGAGAGAAATTATATTGCTCCAGCCTTCTGTTAACACCCTTCATTTATGTGGTGATGTGCATAGTTCAAGTCAAATGCATAGTTTGACACTGACATCATAAACGCTTCTTTATTAAGCCCTGTGAGAACAGTTGCAGCTACCTGGAGAGTGAAATAGTATGGTTAAGCAACATACAACAACAATACATAGCCATTCAACTGATTTACTTGTTTTCTAGGAGTGTTGAGGGCAGTGAGGTTACCTGGAATGTGAGTGCAGGGCTTGATGTGTAGCTTTTATAGAGGCATTTCTTAATAACTTGCTATTCTTATAATCTCAATAAAAATCTCAAATTGTAACAAATAAAGTAGCATTCTGGGTAAAATAATATTAAAAAACATGTTCCTTTGAAAGGAACATGTTCCTTTCTTTTCCATGTAACTTGTTTGGGGATTTATTTTTAACAAGGGGATTTTATACCTTGACTGATAAAGGTCAAGGGTTCAAGAAACTCGGTCAAAGATGTTATCAGCTGGGAAAGCCATTTCCTCACATCAACACTGATAAAAATCCATCTGAAACCCGGCTGATACCACCCCTTCTCTAGAGAGCAGGAATGACCTTCTGAACATCACTATAGTTGCACATCCCATCAAAGAAAATCCGATCTTGTGTCTCAATTCTTTCAATGACAGATAATTGTCTGCAGAGGCCCCCTTTGCCCAATGCTGAGTGAAGCCTTCACATTTCTGAACTGGACTCAACACTGACTCAGTGTTTTTCAGCACACATGGGACTGCAGGACAGTAGAATAAATAAACAATGCAACCAGCCCTACAGCCTGTCTTATCTCATCCTTGTGTTCACAGAGATTCTTGAGGGTGGTAATGTTTACAAACTGTTGAAACTTTCTTTCTTCTGCTTCCTGAGCTGGCAAAAACATATCCTGGACAACTTAAGCAATGAGATTATGCAAACTGCTTATCACTTGTGGGAAGCAACTCCTTGTTTCATTGTTCAGCATATCATTTTAATAAGCAGTATTGTTAATATTTTCAGTAAATCTTACTCAATTCTCCTTATAGATCTATTAATGTATTTAAAGCCTTTCCTTGTAAATCCCAAATGGCATGGGTCTTAAAAACAAACACACAACCCACCTCTCAAAAAAGCCCAAGGGTATACAAACATATATCTTACATATATATATAAATATATATATATATATAAAAATATATATATATATATAAATAAAGTGTGTCAATCCAGCCTTCTACATTAAACATACTATCTAGGAAACTAAACTCTTTGACTTCCTCCTGGTACAGCAGTAGAACTAATCTAATGCTCTACTGACCTATCAGGCAGCAGCCATCAAAGCATCTTCTCTCATTATGTAAGAAAGGAAGGTACTAAGATTAGATTTTAAGAGACCAACACCCTATTACCTCTCATTCCCACTGACAAAATATATCAGTTAGATGGGACTGAATAGAAGCTGTTATAACCAAGTCTTTCTATTCACCCAGGAAATACACTCAAAATTAGATACCTAAAAAATTTAAACTAGGTTTTGTAACAGGATTACAGTAATATTTTTTTCTTAGATACACAGCAAAAGAAACTCTGTTTTAACATCCATAGGCCACTACCCTGCTGAACTGTGTGCATCCTGGGTGAATACTATGACATGCTCACACACATGCAAGTAAAAGCAACATCTAAACACTCCAAACCCCACACTGGTACATTTTCAATCTTCTAAAGCTAGATTTTTCCTTCCTTCAATACAGACCTCTTGAGGAGCCAGACTTAAGGTTAAAAACACTGTATAGCTGGAGACATGAAGCCTAGTGTTCTGTCAAACAAATTAGCCTTCAGTCTGAACTAAAGTGGCACTTGGGACAGTTTGCCTCTTGGTTCTACTTTATTGGGTCAACAAATCAGATTTTTCACTCTTAGATTTAATTTACTCACCACCAGTTTGAACAGGATAAGCTTCTGAATCTTTACCAACCACTCCTACTTTAACATAGCAGTTATCTCTAAAAAATCAATAACTAATACAGAAAGGAAAAACATAAGAGTAAAATCTGTAAGCAGAGATGAAATGTTGTTCTGTATCTTCCCTGTTATTTTTGTCATTTTATTTTGCTTTCAGTGCAAAAAGTATCCTGATGAAATTCTACAAAACTAGAACATGGTGCCTTTTAAAGGGGTGGAGGAAAAGAAGCTGAAATCTATTAAGCCATGTTAATTTAACATGTTGTAATTCCTCCATAATAAAAAAAGCTAGTAATTGCTTACAAAACATTGCTCATTTCTTCTTTACTTTTAAAATACAATCAAATGCACTCATTTTCATTGATATGATGGAAACAGCCAGTATGGTTTAAGTTATCACCCAGTAATTTGGGCACATTAAACCCAATTCTCTGCCTTTTGTTTATTAATCCACTATGCCAGATATCACAGCTTCACTCAGCAACCCGCATGT